AAAAGTTTACTGTAAGTTTGCCAGCTTCTTGGGGACGATAAGGATGTTCCTTGAAGTAGCCACAGCTCTGTCCTAATTGGTACAGGAGTTATTTAGACATATGAGAGAACCTTGAGGTGATGAATGACTTCTTGTCATTATCCCATCCTTATCACTACCAGCTCGGTGACCGACTATTTTCTCACACAGTAAGAAGTTCAGTAATTAACTATTTTCTCACACAGCAAGAAGGTTAGTAGGAAGCAAAGAACATTTTAGCTAGCATATGGTTATAAACAAAGCAGAGGGCTGTCCTTGGTAACACCTGCTGGTGGCGAGTGTCACCTCCCTTTCCCAGCCAAAGCCTCACAGATCCTCACCTCCTCAAAATTGCTGCCTTCCCATCGTGTTCCTAGCAAACGTCCACCTCATGCTGGAAACCCACGAGGAAGTGGCTGGGTTATTTTGGGACAGGGGACAAGCTGCTGGTGCTCTCTGCCAGCAGCCCAGGATCAGCAGCATGGCCATGCAAACAGCAAAGGAGGAAGAAAATGAGGAGGTCAAGGCAAGACGGCAAACTGCAGTCAGGCCCATGAATGTCCTCTGAGATGCCTGACTTGGCATCACCAACATCCACCCCAGGGCCATTGCTCTTGAGGAGTTTTTTTTCACCACCACCCTCCCTGCTGTTACGCAGGCCTTCCAGTGTGGATCCTCCCCTCAGGACCACACTGACCAGGCAGCTCCTCCTGTTGCCTTCAGTGTGATGAAAAGCACAAACTTCACAGAATCACAGAATCACATGGGGTTGGAAGGGGCCTCTGGAGATCATCCAGTCCAACGCTCTGCCGGAGCAGGTCCCCCCAGAGCAGGTTGCACAGGAACGTGTCCAGGTGGGTTTGAATGTCTCCAGAGAAGGAGACTCCACCACCTCCCTGGGCAGCCTCTGCCAGGGCTCTGTCACCCTCAAAGTAAAAGTTCCTCCTCATGTTTAGGTGGAACTTCTTCTATTCAAGTTTGTGCCCATTTCCTCTTGTCCTGTCCCTGGGCAGCACTGAAAAAACACTGTCCCTGGCCTCCTGACCCCCTCCCTTTAAGTATTTATAGGCATTGATCAGATCCCCCCTCAGCCTCTAGACTAAAAAGACCCAAGTCTCTCAGCCTCTCCTCATAAGGGAGATGCTCCAGGCCCCTCACCATCTTTGTAGCCCTAACTTCATGCATTTATCACTATTCTAAGGCTGAGGAGCTGTAGCTGACTGCCCTTGCCCCAGGGGTGCTCACTCATGCAGGAGAGGCAGCCATCTGGAAGGGCGAGCTAAGGACAGCAGAGGAAAAACCTGACGTCCTGGGGAAGGAAACCTGCCGAGGTGCAGAAGCCACCACTGCCAGCAGCAGAGATGAATGGAGGCTCACACCAGCCAACATAGTGGAGCCCATTAGCGTCAACACAGAGAGAATATGTTTTTACCAACTCTGTGAAACGCTAAAGACAAGGAGAGGGGGCTTTCCAGAAAAAAACAGAAACAGCAACCAAAAAAAAACACCCCACCCAACAAAAAAGCCCACAAACAAAAGAAAAAAACCCCAAACCATCCACCCCCTCAAACCCACATAGGTGAGGCGGAGAATGCTCAGGCTGAAACTTGTATGGTTTTTATTTATGCTGAATATACACAAACCCCAAGCCCCTGGGCAGTAGACTGTTCGCACGCTAACACTATCAGGGAAGTGGGCAGGATGGAAACCGAAAGCAGAGCAGATATGCCTCAGCAACTGCCCACACAGGCAAGCTGTAAATTTTAAGCACCGAACCACACGTCCCATGCAGTGAAACAGCTCTGAGAAGCACCTCTTCATCCCTTGGCGCTGCCTTTCCAGCGGCTGGCATGGCTGGGCTCCTGATGGCGCTCCCCCTTTCTTGGAGAGTGCTCCCAAGCCAGCAAGCCCTCTGCTATCGGCACCTGACTCACCCTTTCCTTCAGCCGCATGCCTTCTGCCTCCACCAGGCCACCACCAGGCCAGGCAACCCAGAGCTGAGACATAGGGAACATGGCGGCCCACCAAGAAGCCCAAACATGACCATCAAACATGTCCCACCAGGCCTGAGTGTCCTGCAGAAGACACAGGTTTGCAGGGGAGGGCCTGCAAATCCCTCAGCTGTCCTGCTACAGAGACCTACCCGAGAGACCCTGGCCCCTCTCTCCACCCCTCACAGCTTCCGAGCCCCACAACAGCTACCACAGGAAACCACAGGAAACCAACTTTCCTCTGCTTGTAACAAAACAACTGCACGACACCTATTTCTGCCAAGCCTGGGGGAACAGGACCACTTCAACTTAGACACTTCACCAACAACTACTTGACCCACACTTTCTTACGCATTTTATGTTATTTAAATGAATAATTATGCTTCCTAAAACTGAGAGTGACTGTAACCTCTCGCCCTTGATGTGGCAGAGTCCTACCAACCTCAGGGGAGGGACTCTTCAGTGAAACACCCAGACCCTTGTGTGCATCCAGCACCTGGAGATGTGGTTCCACACTGAGAGACCCTCAGCAGCCTGACTGGCTGAAAGAAGTCCTCAGTCCACCCATCTCCTTTATCACTGGCCACACTTGCCTTCCCCACCTCCATCTGAAACTACTTCCTTCAGAGCTAAACCAGAGCTGTGAGCTTATCAATCCATGGAGAGGTTGGTTGGGGTTTTGGGTTTTGGGTGTATTTTTATTTTTTTGGGGGGTGGGGTGGTTTGGTTTTGGTTGGGCTTTTTTCTTTGTTTTTTTACACAGTCAAAAATCCCACACTGCCAGGCTACAATTCAATACTGTTTCCTCACCAAAGCTGGTTGAATGGATCCTGTCTTCACCTTCCAGCCTCACTCAAGGCCAAACAACTGTTTTCTGGGCTTGTACCATAAATGGGATCAGATAAGTAAATCCATATCTTTTTTATTATTATTATTTTAACTCCAAGATTCCCAACTTTTTTGAACCGGAAGGAAAATTTGCTGGACCTATAGCTGTACTCAGATGGCACCGCGTGGCCATCTAACACTGATGGAGGATTACATGGCATGATAACCTGTTTGTAATTTCTGATTTCCCATGCAAGAATTCAGGTTTTCCAGGTTCCTTAGACATGCAGCAGAGTCATCAACACATTTTTATTGCAAAAAAAATTTCCAAAATGATGAGCTATTCAACAGAGAAGAAACAGAAAACCCCCTCACCTTTCAGAGGTGTTTCATTTCCAGATCTGAGTATCTCTTACAGAGAATGAGAATTCAGAACTAAAATGCTTCATCTTTGACAGATTTAAAGACAACTGTGACAACACTCTGGCTTCCACAAGGTAAGACTCCATAAGCATGTGTGATATTAAATTGACTTTATATTAATTCTGCGTTGTGTCTGATAAAGCTTATTTATTTCTATGTTAATTTTAAAGATGCTAATGCTACCAAGAAGCAATGTTTCCATTGATCATATGTCAGTTATATTTATGCACTTCTCATGGTCTTGTGATTTGGGATGGAAGCATCTCTTTTACTATGTACAGATAACAAAATGAGACTGAGAGAGGGACTCGGAGTGTATTCACACAAACCGGTACAACCAGTCACTGTAGCTTAGGAGGTAACTGGTCAGACGAGTTGTGGTAACCGAGTACACTACCAGAGGTGTGCTCTCAGCTTCTGGAAAAGCAAAGTTAAACCAGTAAGCTCATCTGAGCAAACCAACTTTCCTTTAGGAAACCTAGGACCATGCACCAGCCAGGTCAGTTAGTGCAATGTGGTTACCTCCAAGGTTCCTTACTATCGATCATCTTAGCAACGCATTGGAAGTAAAGACCACCTGCATGGTATGCATTAGCAAAGCACTGATTCCACAGAAAGTTTTAAGGATATCATTGCACTAAGGAAAGGACTTAGAATCTTCCCAGTATTTCTCAACTCAGTCCCAAACTGAGTGTGTTACACACAACCAGCTCTGGTCCAGTACCAGATCATCACTTATTAGAAACAGCCACCCAGCAAGGGCTGGGATCCTTGGGAAAAAAAAGAATTGCAGTGTTTGAAAATTCACCAGCTGCTAGGTGTTGGAAGATGTTATTTCTTTAAGTGGCAACTCAATATAAATTTGCTGTTGCTCAAATCTCATCAGACCTAAATGAATGCAAACACATAATGAAGGCTTGATCTCATCGGTCTCCATGCAAAGGTACCAGGCATGCCTTGCAGGCTGCATGCCCAGACTAACTTCCTAACCACAGTATTCTTTTCCATACCCTCCACAGTGGAGTGGCTTTATAACTTGAACATGAAATATGAACCCCCAGCTGTCTCTTTTGTTATTTATTTTCTGTCCATACCAACAGAGACCTCCTTTGCTAGGCTTTCAAAACAGGCTTTGAAACACGCAAAGGTGATGTATAGATCTGTGGCATCCGCAGTAATTGCAACAGCAGAACTGGCTTTTAAGAACTTGGCAAAGTGAGCAAAGAAAGACAGCAATTTCCACTGAGGCAGTCATCACTCTGCTTGACCAAAACAGACCCACCAACCAACATTCCCATCAAATGGGGCAGGAAAGCCTGGGCCAGCGCTGCAAAGCAGAGCACATGGTGCCTCTCATACAGCTCCAGGAAGACAACCAGCTAGAAGACTGGGATGCTGAGGAATAAGGAACAGCTTTCTGAAGGACCATCAACAAAACCATATCCAGCTGATTCTGCCTTTCAGCTGGGACTGGCACTGCAGCTTTTTAAGACATGAAAACAACAACTGCATTTTCAAAAGGTACCGTGTCTTTATTTTATACACACTCACTGGCATCTCACACAGCACATCACAGACCGTGAAGCTGTAAACAACAAGTTCTGCAAAAGCTACTTGTCACACTGCTGCTACCCAGTTTAATTGCTTAGCACTTTCATAAATTACAGGGTTCCTCACAAAATTGAACTAAAGCCAAGCTGACCACAACGGGAAACAAAAAGCAGTTGCTTAAATAATTACCTTGGAGTCTCTGGAGACCTTGATGTTCAATTGATATATGATATTGACAAATGTTTCCTCCTAGGAAAAAAAAAAAAAAGAAAGAATTCACAATTCTGAATGCCATTAGCGACACTATGAGATTATAACAGGCAATATACATTATCTACTGTTTCTTCAAATTTAAAATCATACCCAGAGAAAAGTATTTCAGAAAATGGTTTCCTTCCTATATTCAAAATACTTGAGAGCAACCAATGCAGTTTTTAAATTTTTTTTTGTTATTTGTTGTCTGTTAACCATTTTCTGACTTTCAGAGATCTGATAAAGAAGTTAGGCTGAAAATCAAGACTTTTATTCTCACCTATGTAATGTTGCCAATAATGTGGATTTCACAGACTAAATCAGAATTAAAGGCTCCTGTATGTAAAGTTACAGTAGTTTATACCCATGCAGTGACGGTATCTTCAAAGACATTTCTGCAGCTGCTTGAGTTTTATAAGCAGAAACTTACTGTTACTTAGTAATTGTATTGGTTTGGTATCTAAAGAAAGAGCATCCAAGTCAGCGATGAGAGATTTACCATGAACAGAGAGAGGTGAAGAGATTGCAAACTTCCCATTAGTCTTGCAACATGTACTTTTACTTATGGGATAATGAAGTGGCCATGTGGTTGCAATCAATCCTGCAATGCCTACATAATAAAAATGTTGAACTTCTCAGACTGACGTTTTTTAATATTGCCTAGGTGAAAAATTAAACCAACTTGGTTTGTAAATTGACTTGGCTAGGAGAAAGTACTTTCCTTTCCCTGGATGTTTATTTCAGATTTAAAGGGTCTTATATCTTAAACTTTGTAGGGAAGAGGCTTAATATAGTATTCTAAGACTAGTTTAATCTCAAGTTAGAGCATATCTACAGCAAGTGGTTGCAAGAACTTATTTAAAGGACTTTCCAAATTAATTTAGTTAAAACTACTGTCCAGCTTTTCAAATAAATTAGGCTGTGCTAACCAATAAAATTAGGAAACCTAATTACTGCCAAAGTAAGCAGAAATAGATATGAAATAGACTATTTTTGAAGGAATATCCCATTTCTTCTACACCATTAATTTTCAGAAGAGACTTGTCTCTAAAGCAGCTTAAAAAATCAGGGACTCTGTCAGGTCCTCCTCCTGCTCAGACCACAGAAGGATATACTGATTCAATTATTTTCTTTTGACATAAACCCAAATTCAGAATCGGTATAAGCGCATATTACAACTCCAACTTTTTGCACAAAGGCAGAAATAATTTCTTTTTTGTAAGCATTAACCAGTTGCTTTGCTCATTCGCTCCCTCCCCCCCACCCTACTGTTGTAGTCTACTAAAAATAAAGCAGTGCAAGCTCCTGGAGAACTGTTGCTTAGCTACATTCTCAATTATCACAATGCTGGCCTTACTCATTCAGTGTCAAGGTCAAAGCAATTGTTTCTTTACTTTAATGATGAAGTATCCTGTTTATAAAAATCTTATCTGTTTCCTACTTGGTAAAAATATTGCACATTTCAGTCAATCATTGCTGGCTGGTCCTCGAGAGAGAAAGTGTGAGAACATAACCGGCAGTGTTAATTTTTGCCCTTAACAGAGGGCTTTTTTCCCAACTCCACCCAGAATGGCAATTGCCTCACACTGACACACAGGCAACCAATTATACCAACGGCTCTTTCCTTCTTTGCTGTAGCCAGACAAGAACAGCAGAAATGGGTTAGCTGTGTATTTATTCTTGTTTGTCCCCCCATCCAATGAAAAGCATAAGTAAAGTGGGATTTTTTAATTACCGTGCACCTCTAAGGCAGCATCATGGGAAAGCTAATGCAGAGAAGGAATTGCCCCATCAGTTTTAAAATATGAGAAGTTTTTGGTTCCTCTTTGCCTTTGAGGTGTTCAGCTGCAAAGGCTGCGATTCTCCCCGGGCTAGTCCAGGCTGCTGAATATTTCATAGCCCCTGAGAAATGCAGCTGTAATCAACTTGCAAATAATGAAATGGGCAGTGATAATAGAGCAGAGGTAAAGTGCGCCATTAGAAAGCATCAGTGCTTTTGGCTGCTGCTGCAGTCTTGCTGCAACAATTTATCAGGTTATTTGACAAAATAATAATGCTATCAACTACGAAATCAAAGTTAATATTATGCCAAAAAAAATCAGGAAGTGTCTCAGGTGGCCAACATGAAGAGCAAAAAGAAAAAAAAAACCAGAAAGAGTGCCAAAGGAAGCACATTCAAGACTGAAACTCCATTAAATGTGTTAATCACATGCCAATTACACACAGCCATTTTAGAGTATTAATAGAAATGTAAATTTACAAAAGTTACTTAAGGCATGAGAAGTTTTATAAATATTAAAATAAAACAATGAAAATATTTAAGAAGCAGTAAATATGTTTATTTTAATCAAAGCTTGTAGAGCAACCCAGCTGCTGTCCTAACTTCTTTGTAACAGGATCTTGAGGTTTGACATTTGGAACCTCAGATGTTTACAGTGTCTTCTCCATATTGTTTCATGCTGGCAAGCACCGAAAGACAGCAAAAAACCAACGGTGAGATGACTATAATGGCATTTCCTGAAGATATGACATAAGCTATGATTAAGAATTTCATGTTGAAAACCAGGATTAAGCAAGAGGCAAAATGAAACGGGCAGCGATAGGATGGATAGCAAGATGCACTTCCCTGGAGGGGTTCAAGGCCAGGCTGGATGGGGCTTTGTACAACCTCACTTTAGAAACCCTGCCCAAAACCAAACTGTTCCTGATTTGCCCCAGGTTTCAGAAGAACAAGGGCTACTGTAGTTATGTGGTAAAAGGAGCAGGTTCATACATAAGGACCCATATGGATGGACAGTGAGACACCCTACATGAGTATTTCCTATCAACAAGGATGACTTCTACACATCTTGATGAATTTGGACAGAGGTGACTCAGACCAATAACTCTCTACCCTGAGCTGGGATGATACACGTGGTTAAACTGGGAAAGCCCCAGTCTGCATGTAGGAAAGGGCTACCTCAAATGACTTTCTCCTAGGGCAAGGGGAGCGGTGACTGAGGCAACTACGCTCTCACAGGCAGGGCTTTTGACAACCTCATGATCTGCCACGTGTCATTACCACTGCAGAGCCAGTGTCTAGACTGTAAAATATTAGACTAGTTCAGCTGCAAGGGACCTACAACAAATCATCTACTCCAACTTCCTGACCACTTCAGGGCTGATAAAAAGTTAAAGCATGTTATTAAGGGCATGCCTCTTAAACATTGATGGGGCTTGGGGCACCAATGACTTCCTTAGGAAGCCTGCTCCAGGCTTTGACCACCCTCTCTGTAAAGAAATGCTTACTAATATCCAGTCTGAACCTCCATTGACACAGATTTGAACCATTCCCGTGTGTCCTGTCACTGGATCCCAAGAAGAAGAGATCAGCACCTCCCTTTCCATGTTGCTCCTCAGGACGTTGTAGAGAGCAATGCTCCTCAGGATCCATTTCTCCAAACCATACAAGCCCAAAGTCCTTAGCTATTCCTCATAAGGCGTTCCTTCCACCCCTTTCACCAGCAAACAGCTGGTCAAAGCAGCTGGATTTCAAGTGACTCAACATGATGTGCAACCGCGGGGAAAAGCAGATGAGAAACCAGCACAGGCTGAAGAATTACCATGGTGCTCCAGTTTCACCTGGAATGCAGCCATCCCCCAAAAGGGCCTTGTGGCATGTGGATCCTCCTCCTATGGACTAGAACATGCTCCAGTGCAGGAAACGGTAGAGACTGCCTTTCTCAGCCCATGTTTCCCCAGGCACCAGAGAAAACCCCGTTGAACCGTGATTCCCTTGGCTGCAGAGTCTCCTCTTGTTCTCCCTCTGAGCAAGGACTGACAGGCTGTTACACACAAGTAACATGCCAAAGTGGTAGGCAGTTCACAGAAGGCTGACATTGGCTCCATGAGTTAACTTCTCATGCTCACAAGAATTAGCTGGATCAAATTCCTAGAAATTAAAGGAAGACCTGGATGCAGGGCTGCTGGTAGGTTCACACGTAACGCTGCATGTTGAATGGGAAGTCTTGACAGAGGTGCAGTATCCCTCAATGGGATGCTGCAAACCTGTGCAAGCACAAAGCCAACAGAAGTAGGAAATAAAAATTGCTACACTCTTTGAAAAAGAACCTCTGCATTCAGGGAAGACTTCAATTAATGTCAGCCTAATCATCTTTTAGATGTTTCAAAAAGTATTTCACAGGAACTCCATGGATCCAAGCAGATTGTAAAAGAAATATTCATGAAGCGGATAAACACATCCTTTTCCTTCAATCCCTTTGTACTTGCTATGTTCTCTACAAGGTACTTTGTATTTTCATTTCGCTCCTCACCGGCAACAGATAGAAAAGGTGGATAAGGTGCCAAAAAAATTAAATCTGGTATACACATGTTCAGCGCAGCAGGGGGAAATCAGCTCTCTCTAACATCCCAGAAACATCACCTATCACTCTGAAAGAAAGTGGTATCTCAGGGTGATACTGCGCTGGAGTAATTCCCATGCTTTGATAATCCCAGTGTTATCTTCCATCTGCCAGAGGAGAGATCACACTGATGGACCTTCCAGCTAGATGGAGTCGCCAAAAATTCTCTTCATCTATCAGAAAGCTCAGACATAACTGAGATGCCCTCGTTCATATTCTCCTGCTCTCCCTTCTGCAAATACTCAAAGATAAATTACGCAGACAAACTCAGATTTAGACCTTAAATGTCACAGCCAAATCTTAGGCAGTTCATTTTTCCTTTTCCTTTTCTTCCCCAGCATGAAGAATTATTCTTATTAACTCACTGGGGATCATGTCTTCCTTTTACTATCTCAGAAAAAGTACAACATGACAGACAGACCTTGTACAATATAAGGCTGGCGGAATTGCTCTCCGAGTTTATCCATTAAAAATCCAAAATTCTATTTCAACAGTTGTGGATTTTCCGCAGTACCACCAAGCCTCTTCTGGATATCAGCATCCCAGTCCGACCCTTCTAAAAAATGGGAAGGCTATGGTGATACAGGCTCCTGT